GAACAAATGTGATCATTGTCATTATTTCAGTCAAAAACATTTGAGTTCTTTACACTTCAGCTATACTTCTGCTGTATATGAAATACTCTAATTTATGAGACAAATACTAAAGCTATGAAACTTTTTCTAGTATGTTTATCAACTCTTGTTGATGTTAATAAATGACTTCATATAATAATACTATTAAAAAGAGGCCATAAGTTAGCAGATTGTCAGATTAATGTAGGAAGTAAATATTATGTAACTTTTATTTATTTTGACAAGAAATAAGCTTTCCTTAACAGTAAGAAATTCTAAAAGGGTACCTATGTTGACATCTCAAATGTGCTTTCTCTTCTTTATTTGGATTATGAAAATAATCATGCTAATTGTGAAGAATTTTGAAAACACATAAAAAAACTATAATGTTAACCTGGACCACCACTGTTGACATTAGCTGGGAAGGTGATAATTGCAAAAGAAACAAATAGGCAAGTAATAGAAGAAAAACAACAGATTGCTAATAGAATGTACCATGAACACCTAACAATCATGTACTATGCATGCTATGTATTAATATAAGACCATTTCATATATTAATTCACTTAAGTATTAGTGTGGCCCTATGAAGTTTAAGAACTGTTACTTCAGGCACTTGCCTAAGGCCTCAGAAGTAGTAAATGGTGGGGCCAGATGTGAACCCAGGTAGTTCAGCTTCAGGGTCTTATTATGAACACCATGTTGGACTGCATCTCTAATGTAAAAAGGTGCTTAACTGTAATCAGGGAAATTTTTTCTTCTCACAAATGGATAAAAAATGTGAAAGATTGAGAAACTTGATAATTCAAGTATTATTGAAGATATGTGCAGTGGTGGAGGCCTTTTCAGAGGGCAAGTTAACAGTGGTTATTAAGTCTTAAAGTCATAGATTCTTCAATCTAGCAAACCCATTGATCATTATCTCTCCCCAAAGAGAGGCTAGTATTTCCATTATAACATTGTTTATAACAGAAAAAAATGGAAATCCCCTAGATGTTCATCAAAAGAATGTTTAAATCAGTATGTCTATACTATTTAATATTATACAACAAAAAAAGGAATGAGTTGCTTCTAGAGATATTGACTTGGAAAACTCTTACAGGCATACATTTTAAGGAGTAAAAGTAACTTGCCAAACTGTGTAGTACGATATTTATATTATGGGAAAATACACAAAGCATAAAAATGTATAATTCAATGGCATTAAGTACATACATTCATGATGTGAAGCCATCACCACTATCTAGTTCTATAACTTTGTCACCCTATATGGAAACCCTCTACCCATTAAGCAATTACTGCTCATTTCCTCTTCCATCCTGTCTCTGATAACCATAAATCTGTTTTCTACATGGATTTGCCTATTCTGAGTACGTAATAAAAGTAAAAGTGTGCCTGGCTTCTTTCACTCAATATAGTGTTTCCAAGGTTTATCAGTGTTGTAGCATGAATCAGTATTTCATTCCTTTTTATGGCCAAATATTATTCCATCGTTGGATATACCACATTTTGCTTATCCATTCATCTGTTGATGGACCTTTGAGTTGTTTCCACCTTTTGGCTATTAAGAATAGTGAGTGTTGCTATGAATATTTATGTACAAGTTTTTGTTTGAACATCTATTTCAAATCTTTGGCGTATATGCCTAGGAGTGGTGTTGCAGGATCATATGGTATCTCTATGATTAGCTTGTTCAGAAACTACCAAACCATTTTCCACAATGGCTGTACCATTGTATGTTCCCAACAGCAATGTATAAGCGCTCCAATATCTCTGCTTCCTTGCCAACACCTAATTTTTGTTTGTTTTCTAAATACCCATCTGGTAGATATGAGGTGGTATCTTATTAAGGTTTTGATTTGCATTTCCCTAATGACTAATAATATCAAGCATCTTTTCAAAATAAATTTAAAATACCAAATCTTAAAAACACAAAATTTTTTTTAGCATATAATTAAAAGCTACCTTTTGTTACTCTGTGAATGCAAATTTATTTCCCTGAGTGATTTTATCTGATCTGATCTGCACCCTCAAAATATTTTTTTAACAATACTTTACCCAAGCTGTTGCTTGTTTCCCATTCTGTGATATGGTTCTTGATGGTTATAATTAGCAGTTTTATCTACATTTAGACTTGAACTTTTTGAAGGCTATTGTTGTGGGGCAAAGAGTTAAGAACTATGATTAGAAGGCTCCAAATAGTTTTTGAATTTGGGCATCCTCAGGTCACCTGACACTAGCTAACTGTATTATTTCAGGAAGTGATTTAGGCCCGTGGTCAGCAAACTGCGGCTCGCGAGCCACATGCGGCTCTTTGGCCCCATGAGTGTAGCTCTTCCTAAGCCTTAGGAGTACCCTAATTAAGTTAATAACAATGTACCTACCTATATAGTTTAAGTTTAAAAAATTTGGCTCTCAAAAAGAAATTTCAATCATCGTACTGTTGATATTTGGCTCTGTTGATTAATGAGTTTGCTGACCACTAATCTAGGCTATAGCTAGGCTGACAAACAAAAACTTCTGAGAGCACACCTGCAGATCCTACTGTGAGTTAGAAAAATGATTTGGGAAATACAAATTAGGACCAATTTTTAATACATCAGTTTCATTAACTGAGTAAAGGTACTTATTTATTAGAATTTTTCCGTATACTCCAGGTTTTACAAAGCAAATAGAAAACTTTACCTTGCGAGCACAGTGTTCGAGATGTCAGTCCATGTGAAAGGACCTTTAGCTTGAATCCTGGTATTTTAACATATATCCTTAAAATGGTTAATAATTTTGTAAGGGTAAAGCTAAAGAGTAACCTGTGTTCTTTAAAATAATTTTTTAAAAAATTGTTAATATTAAAAAATTTTATTGGGGTGACATTGGTTAATAACATAAGTTTTACTTAAAATAATCTTTAAAAAAGTCTTGTCTTTGTATCAACATGTGTTTTCACTTTTTTCTCTTGTAGTACCTGTTTGAAAATGGTAGAATAGATAACATTTTTACAGAGCCCTATTCCAGATTTATGATTGAACTTACCAAACTCTTGAAAATATGGGAACCTACAATACTTCCTAATGGTAGGATGGTTATTTTTTATTTTGATTTTTTTCATGGTACACTTCCTTAAATTGCTTAAGTTGTAAGATTATCTTTTCATAAATTGTTCATTTTCTATTTCTGTCCTGATTTGTAATGTATTTGGACTCCTGAGGAGAAAGTCTTGGTTTTATTATTGATTACTAGAGGCCCATTGTACGAAATTCGTGAACTGGGGGGCGGGGGGACGGCGGTCCCTCAGCCTGGCCTGCACCCTCTCGCAGTCTGGGTGCCCTCGGGGGATGTCAGACTGCCGGCTTAGGCCTGCTCAGTCAGTAGGCCTAAGCCGTCAGTTGGACATTCTTAGCGCTGCCGCAGAGATCGGAGAGGCTCCCACCACTGCCGCTGCGCTCACCAGCCATGAGCTCTGTTTCTGGCTGAGCAGTGCTCCCCCTTTGGAAGTGCTTTGACCACCAGGGGGCAGCTCCTGCACTGTGCATCTTCCCCCTAGTGGTCAGTGCACGTCATAGCCACCAGTCGTTTCTTTGTTTGGTCGATTTGCATATTAGCCTTTTATTATATAGAATTTTAGTAAAACTATAGCTTCCAAACAGTGCGTGTATAGTGTATGTATACATACTGTTGAAAAATTTAAAAAAATTACTGGAGGTTCCATTTACAGTTGTAGAAACTGTTTTTGTTCTGGTAATGCTGGTATTGTTGCATGCTGTAGTAGTAACTGCCACATATTCTACTTCCAGACTCTACCTGTTAGCAGTGGACCTTCTTTAATTGTTTATAAAGTACCCTGAACTGGTTATTGAGACTTAAATCTTCATCTTCAAATTGTCTTTGACCATAGGTCATTGGACAAACCCTTAATTCACGCCTGGTCTTAGGCTCCTCGGCTGGGAATGGAGAGTTGAATGTGATGCTCTGGAATTTGTCTCCCTTTCTGTTGGGTTACAGAGCGCTTTTGAAGAGCAGCATCGTGGTTTGATGCATTTAGCATTCAAAGAGAAGGCTTAGGGACATAGATACATGGAAGTAATAATTCATGTTTGTGGATAGTCAGTCTTCTAAAATAGAATGCAGAATCAGCAACAGAGAGGTTGGGTAGAGAACATGGGGGAAGGCCTGCACTTAAAGGGTATCCTGGGGAAAGTGCCTTTAAAGGTATACTTATTTTAGTTATTCTGCAAGACCTCTGCTTTTCAAGAAAAATCTCAAATAAGTCATCATAACTTTATCACTCAATATAAATTTAAGAGGAGGATCACTTCTTGGCCTTTTGGCTAAAATCAAGAGTAAAATAAGAGGGGGTGGGAAGAAGTGGGGGCACTATCTGCCTTCTTATAATCTTACCTAAATAAAATTAAACGAGTTAACAGGAAGCGTATTGAACTGGAACAGGAGTCTGCAATCAGTGGCCCATGGGCCAGATCTGGCCTGCTGCCTGTTTCTAGATGTGGTCCATCAGCTAGAAATGGTTTTTACATTTTAAATGGTTTGGGGGCAGGGGGATTCCAAGGAATAATAATATTGTGAGGCATGTGAAAATTATATGAAACTCAAATTTGTGTCTATAAATAAACTTTATGGTATATTATAGCCATATCTATATGTTTTGTCCGCAGCTCCTTATCTTCTACAACAACAAAGTTGTTCAGAGCCTATATGGCCCAAAACGCTTAAAATATTTACTGCCTGGTTCTTTACAGAAAACGTTTGCCAGCCCCTTGTCTACAGTAGCAGTAGATTAAAGCTGTTTCAGGAGGATGCTCAGTGTGCAATCATCTGACTTTTTCCTTGTAGTGCCTTCCCTGTTTTTCTGTATAAGGAAGGCGGGGAAGGAGAGGAACAGTCAGTCCCCCTCCCCCACCCCCATGTCTTGTCTGAGAATTTGAGAAACTAGTCTTATTTATCAGGAGCTCAATGCTATTTCTCTCCCCCCAACCCCCTTCTTCGGTCCAGGTTACATGTTCTCTCGCATTGAAGAAGAACATTTGTGGGAGTGCAAACAGCTGGGCGCTTATTCACCAATTGTCCTCTTGAACACCCTTCTTTTCTTCAATACCAAATACTTTCAACTAAAGAATGTTACTGAGCACTTGAAGCTTTCCTTTGCCCATGTGATGAGACGGACCAGAATTTTGAAGTACAGTACCAAGATGACATATCTGAGATTCTTTCCACCTTTACAGAAGCCAGAGTCAGAACCAGGTGTGTGGTGGAGTTTGGAAGATTTCTATTGAAGTCTCAGTATTCAAATAGAAACTCATTGCAGAGGGGTAATTGTGTAGCTTTTGTTTAACATTTAAATGCTTTATGTCACGGTTAGGTTCAAGGCTTTTTCTCAGAATGAGAGGAATCGCTTACTTTCATTGGCTTTAAGTTAGAAATTCTGATATCATTGGTAGAGCCCAAATAATCCTTATTTTAAAACATCCCAGGGAATTTAAGTATATAGGTGATTTAGGGGCAACAGATGGGTCAATTGTTAGTTAAAGGAATCTGTTTAACTTTTAAATCTCCTGTTTCTAAATCTTTTTATTGACCAAAGCACCTCTTTTTAGTTGACAATAAGATGTCAAATTTTAAAGAAACTTGAAAGCTGGCCTAGAGTCTACTGCTTTTATACACAGTAGAATAATAGCAGCGATGACAATTTTAGAAGAGTTATGGTTTTTCATTCCAGTAGTAGCCTATTAAATAATAGTTTGTCTTAAAGATTAAAAAATCAACATCATTATTATGAAACTGGAAATTAAATTTTTGACCAAAGTTGTAAGTTCTAAAATTCCAAAAATCCAGTTGTTACTTTCTTGGGATAGGAGTGAAATACATATTTTGAATGTGAGAATTTAAAGTTACTGAAAGTAAAATCTTAATAATTCTGATGTTCATCTTTATGTTAACTTTTTTCTCCTTTACTTTAGAAAATACTAAGATTTATTTGCTTATTCACCATGTGTCTGTCCTATTTCCTTCTATTTGTTCATATATGGCACACTTTGTGTTCTTAATTGATATTAATTGGGGAGGAGAGACAGGTAAAATTTTCCTATTTTCTGATCTTAGGTGCCTAATAAGATTTGTAATAAGTTCAGCTTTTATGAATGAATAGCTAACAAAGTCTTCCTTATTTAGATAGCCTCTAAGTAAAAAAACTGGGGCGAATTGTTGTTTAAATGATAATTAATGCAGGAAGCTGGGGGAAGTTGTGTGCTGGTAAGAGCAACTATAAGAAAAGAAAAAGAAAGCCTTTTTCCTCAGGGTTTCAGGTCCACCTGTTATTCTCTTGATGATTGAATGGGAAGGTGTAAAACAAAGAACCCACTTGCCTTGTCTTCACCCTTGGTCTCTGCAGTATTCTGTTAGCGGGGAAAGGATTTGCTCTTTTCTTAGCAAATGCTCACTTTATTGAGAATTTCTTTTCCCAACAAAGGTTCCATTTCTCATAATACTATGACAAATAAACTTGAACAAATGCCCAAAGGGCACTGATGCCCCATTGTGGAAATACTTTGTTTGTTTGTTTATTTATTTTAATCCTCACTTGAGGGCATGTTTTTATTGATTAGAGAGAGAGAGAGAGAGAGAGAGAGGGAGAGAGACATCAATGTGAGAGAGTAACATCGATCAAGTTGCCTCCTTCCAGTATACACCTCGACCAGGGATGGAACCCACAACCTAGGTATGTGCCATGACTGGGAATCGAACCCACAGCTTTCGGTGTATGGGGTGATGCTTCAATCAATTGGGCCACCCGGCCAGGAGAGTATAAATATTTTTAGATAAAGAGGTGAAAACTTCTATCTTAATGTCTGCCATAGGAGAAGAGCACCTGAAACCCTTAAGTACCTTGTGCCTATTAAAATCTCTTCAAGTCAGGTTCAGAAGTCAGACACACTCTCTTGCACTATGCTTTTCACCATGTTCCCCCTACTTTAGTGAGCAGGGGAACATAACTTTTACAGGACAGGGACTTTGTTTTGTTCAATGCTATTATATCTAGTACTTAAAATTATATCTAGAACCTCCAGAAGTGCTCAGTAAATATTTGTTGAATGAGTAAGGGAAAGGAAAGGGGAGGGAATGACAGTTTTGACTGGAAGCAAAGCTTGTTGGGTGTCTTGATACTTGAAAAATATAATCTTTTTATTATTTCCTGCCTCAAGATAAACTAACTGTTGGCAAGAGGAAACGAAATGAAGATGATGAGGTTCCAGTGGGTGTAGAAATGGCAGAGAATACAGACAATCCACTAAGATGCCCTGTCAGACTTTATGAGTTTTACCTGTCAAAATGGTAAGTGCTCTTCCCCTGAACTAGATAATAGTACTCTTCAAAAAGGAGTTAACATATTCTGGATTTCAGATGCTTGAATATCAGAAATGTAGCTCGCCTGTGATTAGTCAAAGTCTAAAGATGGATTTACCTCCTATTTTATTATTTCCCCCTTCTTGTATCTGCCTGGATTTTGAACAAAGAAAACAAAATGCATTATCTTGATAATCTTTTTCCCAAAAACCTCTTCAAAAGCAAGAATAAGAATCCCTGCCATCGTTTGATCTTTACAACTGTTATTCAACATTTATGTGATATCTAAACTTTGATTTTATTATTTATATAGAAAAGATATTTAGAGGAGCTTTTAAACTGCTAAAACTATAAATACAAAAACAATTTGTGCTTAAGGTCTTGAAAATTTTTGAGTGGTCTTTTTCTTACAGAAACTTTATGACTTTAGAGTTGTAAGATCACACCAACGCACTTTTCTTTCAAAGAAATATGACGACTGTGTTTGCCCTTTGATATGTGTATTGAGTGCTCATAGGGTTCATTCCAGGATAGTGGGTGCTGAGGAAATGTGGTTCTCAGCATAGTGTCACATGTGAGTTAAATTTGTTGCTCCTAAAAATGTTATAAGTACTAAAGTTTGTGAAGGGTTTACACTGTGACTTCTACTAACATTAGACTTACTTCCAAAACAATATGATTTATTGAATGTGGAAGAAAAGATGTGGAGTTACAGGCTGCTCCTGGGGGGAAGTGTTTATAAACTGTGGGTATGTTGCTGATCTGTGATATAAGTCATAGCAGAGCAACGTTGAGAGCCATTACATTAAAGAGTAGTTATGTATGACCTCTGCTCTCTGATCCCCAATTTTCTTTCTTTTTTCTCTTTTTCCTGTGGATAGTTCTGAAAGTGTGAAGCAGAGGAATGATGTGTTTTACCTTCAACCCGAGCGTTCCTGTGTCCCGAATAGCCCCATGTGGTACTCCACATTCCCGATAGACCCTGGGACCCTGGACACCATGTTAACACGTATTCTCATGGTGAGGGAGGTACACGAAGAACTTGCCAAAGCCAAATCTGAAGACTCTGATGTTGAATTGTCAGATTAAAGCAGAAGTGGGGTTCCAATTTTCATACACATTGGTATGCACCAAACTGTGAATGCATCCAAGCTTTGGAAAACGATGTATAAGTCCAAGTCCCCTTGACTTGATTATAACATAATGGAAAATAGATAACTCGTGAACCACAGTGTGGATGTACAAATGAAAATTGAAGGAAAGAATGTGAACTGAGAAATGTTGTTCTTTGGCAGTGATATAGTTCTTAGACATCTTCAGAATGACTAACCAATTTCTCTGAGTGGTGCATAGTCTTATTTTGTTTGGGAATAACAAATTGTGGAATATTTTTAAGGAAAACAGTTATATAAAACTCTACCATAGTAACCTTAGACCTTAGAGAGGTAACTTTGGAGTGAAACCTTGGCTGCAATAGGCTACTTGGAGGAGCCCTATGTCAAAGTCAGGGGAGCAATAGAGCTAAGAGTGACATCAAATGAGGACCGTGGGACCCAGACTTGAAGAACCAATAAAAATACTGAACTTTTATTATAAGGTAGAGAGTGAAGGGGTCTTGATTTTGATTTTCACTGCCAAGCCATTTCTGTGAAGGATCGAAGCCTCTGTGCTTTGCCGTTGGCCCTCGCATCAGGAAGCAAGGCCTTCCCTGCTGTTCCCAGAATACTGTGTGATTTTACTTCCTGGGTCTAGCCGTCTCAGCTCTGGGTCGATGTGGGTAAATTAAGGTAAAGCAGTTGAAACTGTGCAGTCCAGTTACACATAGAGAAGTACCGTGGAGCCATTAGACCCCGGGCGTCTTGAAATGTTTCTAGAAAACCCACTAAAATGCCCACTTCTCTGGGTGTCAGCCTTTATTGCTGCTGTCTCATGGCATGAGCTGTGGTGCACAGAAATGGGGGTTATCCTTTTGTTTTCATTTTATCCCCAAATGGCAGCTTTCCTTTCATTGTTTTATCTTCCTATTTTCTAAATAATTCCTCTTATTTTGTCTTTAGCACCAATTTCTGGAGGCCTGTGTCATTTCAAAAAGGGTAGTCTCTCTCCTAACTGGCAAACCTGTGGATGATTCCACAAAGACACAGTATTATTTAGCTATCGGAATTATGATAGAAAAGATCTTAGTGTGTTCCTATACAAAGTATTTGGAAGATGACCTTGTGGTCCTAAGGAACTTGAAAATGGGGCTAGGATGCAAAGACACTGACTGTCTTTCATAGTCATAAGCAGGTCTTCTTATAGCATTATTCCAAACTCTAGCTGTTTTAGTGGTTTTCTGAGGGTTGCAAGTCATAGTGTGTTTGACATATCGATCCATCTTCCTCATCTCCATTCTCAGTTTCTTCCCCACAAAATTTTGAATCAAAGCTTTTATGATGTTGGCTAATCACAAAACTTTAGCAGAGATTAACTTGACCCTAATAGAAATGAGAGAAGTCCAAAGTCTCTCAGAAATTTTAACCTTGACATACGTTTAAATATGTCCCATTTTTTAGGTGGGAGTGGCAGGTTCTTGGTTTTTTTTTAAATAAGTAATTGAAAGTCATTTAACTACAATAAAAATTTAAAACTAGGCCTTTTGACATTGTGTACTTGATGGTTCTGTCCCTCGGCCTGTGACAAATTTCATTTTTGTTATGAGAACTGTGTAAAGAAGTAAGTCCGCCCCAGTTCTGTATGATTTAATTCCATCTGTGTTTGTCATCTCTGATTGGAAAACTTCTTACTTCCAGACCTTGTTTAACATGGAGGAAAAAACAATTGAATTGTCTCATAAGTCTGCCAATAAACTGTCCAGAAACTTCAGGTGTAATAGTCCCCAATATATTCATTTTCTGTTTTGTATAAACACTAACATTTCCCTTTCTATTGTTGTATGAAAAACAAATATTCTTGGCACGGTAGAGAAATTGTTATAAAACACCAGAGAGGAAAAAGAAATCTGTATTTTTTAACTGAGAACAGCCAATACCCCACGTAAATGACTATATTGGGATTTAAATTGCATATTAAATCACAGAGTTGTTCAGACCCTAAATTCATACAAGAAAATATTGGCCATTCCTCATAAGCATAGCTGTTGATATGTGTCCAATTATTTGCTTTTAAAAATTTATTAAAGTTATGTAAAATTACATTTTTTTCCAGGAGAAGGGGAAAAAAAAATCAAACACAGAGAAACAACTAAGTTATCCTTTCTGTTCTTTTTTTAACCACTTTTAACCCCTTGCAGAAACTACAGAACTATTCCCTTAGAATAAAATAGTATATTTGTATTTGATGGGTGAGTTATCCTTTTCTTTATAATTTTCTTGAAATAAATTTAAATATTTTTTTCTGTTTGACCATATTGGTATGACCGACAGATGGTATATAACAAAGAAAGCAGTTTTCATAAAATAAATTATTTGGTATTTACTCTGTCCAGTAAACATATTGTTTCATTACAGTCTTTTCGGTTGTTTTCTTTCTTGCATCAAAAGACTTGTTCCCATTTTTAGTTAATTTATTAATTTATATTCAAAACCCTAAAAGCTAGAAATATCAGGTATATTGTATATATTTCATTTCAGGCAAACTTTTTTGAGATTTACAAAGCTTGCATCTATTCAGCTCATACAATTTTGAAATTGTGGGATTAGAATAAAGAATATGTCCATTTTTAAGAATATTTTCGTATTTAATTTGGGAATGTGGGGCTAAATGGTATTTTTCTTAGATTTTAGAGCTATCTTTATGTTGTACAAGTATACTTTCAATTCCATATAAACTTTCTATCAAACTGCCCTTGTGGCATTCCTAATTTTATAAAATAGAACTTTTCTAAAAAGCCTAAAGTAAAATGAATTTTTGCTAATAAATCCCAGTTTTCTTTTGAATTCAGACTTTAATTTTCCATGTTGGAAAGGTTCCCTGTGTTACTGAGTTGAAATTTTAGGAAATAATTAAGCAATAATACCCCCAATTCCTCTTGTCTATCATCATCATATGTTACTGTCATTGAAAAAATAGAAGAGGTATTGTTACAGAAGGGAAGATCCAAGGTTTTGGATGCTAGTCTTTTCACTTACTGGTTGTATAGCTTATAAATTATTTAACCTTCCTGTGCCTCAGTTTTTCTCACAAAGTGGAATAATAATAACATCATCTATGCCTGGCTTTCAAATGTTAAGTAAAGATATATGTACCCCTGTATTCACTGCAGCATTATTCACCATAGCCAAGATATGGAAACAACCTAATTGTCTTTCAATGTACAATTAAAGCTGTGATACATATATACAATGGAATACAACTCAGCTATATAAAAAAGTAGAATGTGTTACCTTTTAAACAGTTAGAAGAAAATTGTCCATTGCTACTTAGTGGAAAGCAGTAGGGACATGGGGAGGGGAGTACAGTAAGTAGAAATTGTGAAATAACAGCAGAAATAAGTTCTAAATTACAGTGAATGTAAACATCTTAAATTTAACTGAAAACAGATTCTCACCCTCGTTTTCCCATCTTTATTTACTTGCCCTTCTCTGCATAGAGACATTAGTGTTTAAGGAAGTAAAAGCATGGAGGAATTGCTGTGTGCCTGGAGCCCATGGAAGCCCGCTGGTGAGAGGTGCCACAGTGAAGCAGCGCAGCATCAGAGCAAATGAGGCAGTGAGTGGCTGGAATGGTTAGGAGACTGATTACATTGTGCAAATAAGTTAAACAATTGAGAAATAAGTACATATATCGAGCATAATGGGAGCCAGATTTCTCAGTTTGAGAAAGGATTAATGAACGTGGAAAGGGAGAAGGCTAGGAAGAACCCTGAGATGCTGAATGAAATTGGAAGAGTTGGTATGAACTCATAGGTTTAGATAGATAGATATAGTTGTTTATAGTGATATGAGTATCTATATATATAAAAGGCTAAGTGACCATCTGTCTTACTGGCTGGTAGGTATGACACGCACTGACCACCAGGGGCAAATGCTCAATGCAGGAGCTGCCGAGCTGCAGTGACTTGGCAGTAAGTGGTTCTTGCTTGGTGGTTCTTGGGTGACACTCATGGGGCCGCGCGATTCCACCTTCGGCCATGGGTTATGTTGTTGCTGGGGCACTGTCAGCCCCGAATCTGGTTTACTGCACACTGGTGTTTGCATTCCACACCCTTTGTGACAGCAACTTTGCAGAGTGCCCTCTTGCACTCTGGGACCCCTCGGCGGATGTCAGAGAGCCAGTTTCGGCCCAGTCCCTGTAGGCCAGGCCAAAGGACCCCACCTGCTGGAGGGACCCCACTCACTCCGCTGCGGTGCCACCCCAGGTGTGGCCAGCTGGGGAGGGATCATGGGAGGTTGGATCCAGGGCGTGCCCGGCCCATCTCACCCAGTCCTGCCCCACTGGTCACCGTCTAATTAATTTCCTTTCAATGTGCACGAATCCGTTGACCGTGTCACTAGTGTGTGTGTGTGTGTGTGTGTAATGGATTGCTTGATTCTATCCACTGACATGGTATGGAAACAATTTTACCTTGGTAGCAATAAGCATACCAAGAGCTAAGGCATGAGGGCTCAATGACTGATTCCAAGACTGGGGAACGAAAAAGATAATCCTGGAATACCTTTTGAGTATGTAAATGCTAAAAAAAGAAAAAGGTAGGGATGTGTCAGAAGGAATAGGAGGCAGCCAGAAGAGGTTTCCATTGGACGATTTGTGTATCAGATTACAAACTAATGAATAAAATAGGAATTCATGAGTTGATATTGATATAAATGAGTAAAAAATTTAAAAGACTGGATAAATTTAAAAAATCTAACAAGGGTAAAAGTGATGCAAAGACATTAGACAAATATTAAGAGATATCTGGGGGAAAGCAATATTCATAGTATCTGATAAAAAAGATTTAATGCAACAAAGGAAAAAGGTGGGGGATTACATACTGATAGAATTAATGAAAAACTATAAATATGGATATTACTATACTTTATAAATAGCCTGAAAACTAACAAAAGTTTGGGTGGCCGAAACCAGTTTGGCTCAGTGGATAGAGCGTCGGCCTGAGGACTGAAGGGTCCCGGGTTCGATTCCAGTCAAGGGCATGTACCTGGGTTGCAGGCACATCCCCAGTAGGAGATGTGCAGGAGGCAGCTGATCGATGTTTCTAACTATCTCTCTCCCTTCCTCTCTGTAAAAAATCAATAAAATATATTTAAAAAAAAGTTTGGGTAAAAGGGAGGATGGATAACCCTTGGATTAAAAAGGGAAATGAGAAAGCACCTAGAATGGACTAATGAATGATAAAATTATTATGTCTGAATCTGGGAACACAGCTGAAGCAGAACTGAGAGGGAAAAATTAGATTTAAAATCATGTTTCCCTTTCATGAAATCATTTTCAGGGAACAAAGATTAAGAATGAATAAAGCAATCATTCAATTCAATAATTTAAAGAATGAACAACAGGGGAAAAAAGAAGAAAATAGTAATAAAATCAGAAAAAATGGAAAAGAAGACTATCATATATGGCCTTTATTATTGAGGTACTTTACTTCTATACAATTTTATTGAGTGTTTTTATCATAAATGGATGTATGTTTTCAAATGCTTTTTTTGGCATCTGTTAATATGATCATACGAGTTTTATTTTGTTAATGTGGTATATCACATTGATTTGTGGATGATGAATCATCTTTGCATCCTTGGCATGAACCCCATTTGATCATGATGTATGATCCTTTTGATATATTGATTTGACTTGTTAGTATTTTACTTAGGATTTTTGCATCTTGTTCATCGGAGATATTGGCCTGTAACTTCTTTTTGTATTGTATTGTCTGGTGTTAGTATCTGGGTAATGTTGGCCTTGAAAAATGAGTTGGGAAGTATTTCTCCTCTTGAGTATTTCTAGAAGAGATTGAGGAAGTGCGGTAAAATTCACCAGCGTGTTGTGGGAGGTTTTGATTACTCTTTCTATTTCCTTAATATAATGGTCTATTTAGGTTTTACAGTTCCTCATTTTTCAGTCTAGAAAGGTTGTATGCTTCTAAGAATTTGTCCATTACTTCTAGGTTATCAAATTTGGTGCCATATAGACTTTCATAGTATTCTTGTATACTCCTTTGCATTTCTGTGGTAACTTCTCATTCTTTGATTTGATTTCATTAGTTAGTTGTTCAGTAGCATGTTTAATCTCCACATACCAGGTGTACCGGTTAATAATGCAGAGTTTTTTCACTAGAGTTACACATATGTTGAGATATATGCGATTTGATATGTATGCTGTTTTGTTGTATTGACATCAAGCTTCAAAACTTCATATGTCAAATTTGCTGAAGGTGTTAACATAGATATTTTTACGCTTAAAAATGTCGAATTTTGTGCCATAAAAAACATTTGCGATAAGTTATAATTCATTACTTTATTTTGAAGAAAAGTGCTGCTGAATACTCCGGGAAGCTTATGGTGAACATGCTTCATCTCAAGATACTTGTGAATGCTGGTTTAAACGCGTTAAAAGTGATGATTTCAATGTGAAAGACAAAGAACATTCAGGTCAACTGAAAAGTTTGAAGGCCAACAATTACAAGCATTATTGGGTGAAGATGTGTGCCAAACTCAAAAACAACTTGCAGAAAGATTAAACGTTGCTCAGCAAACAGCTTCTGATCGTTGACAAGCATTGGGAAGATTTTAAAGGAAGGAATATGGGTGCCACATCAACTGAACAAAACACAAATGGAAAACCGAAAAGTTGTCAGTAAAATGTTGCTTCAACGGCACGAAAGGGAGTCTTTTTGCGTCGAATTGTGACTGGCGATAAAAAGTGGATTTATTTTGAGAATCCCAAATGCACAAAGTCATGGGTCGAACCAGGTCAGTCAACAACATTGACTGCAAAGCCAAATCGCTTCAGAAAGAAGACAGTGCTCTGTGTTTGGTGGGATCAGGAAGGTGTGGTGTATTATGAGCTTCTAAAAGCAGGTGAAACCGTTAATACTGATCGCTACTGACAACAAATAATCAAACCTGAACCAGGCTTTGATCATGAAATGACCAGAATGTTCCAGAAGACACGGCAAAGTAATTTTGCTTCATGATAATGCACCATCACACACTTCAAAACCAATTAAAGACACGTTAAAAGATCTTGCCTGGGAAGTATTAACTTACGTGCTGTATGCACCAGACCTTGCGCCTTCAGATGACCACTTGTTTCGATCAATGGCACATGCTCTTTCTGAGCAGCACTTCAAAACATACGAAGAGCCGAAACTGGTTTGGCTCAGTGGATGGCG